GCGGAAACGGGCTTCCATAATATGGCGAGATTCCGTGGCTTATATTTTTTTTTACTACCTGGCGGAAACGGGCTTCCATAATATGGCGAGATTCCGTGGCTTATATTTTTTTTTACTACCTGGCGGAAACGGGCTTCCATAAATATGGCACACCTCTAGCTATATTTACAAAAAAATCAAATATTGTGTGAGCGACACTGTGAAATACAATATTAAGGGACTTAAGTTTTGTGGCTTGTCAACATTATTCATTTAAAAAGCTAAAACTTTAAAAACTACTTCATTATAAAGATCAAATTCAATACGTAATTAAGTACATTTATTGTGAATTATCCCACATAGTATGGGTTAAATATCCCAAGACATTGACAAATGTTGCTTAAATCATTGCCTTATCGTTTTAATAAACCAGCTCAAAATCGAAGACGTCGATTGGCTGGTCGTTACGTGCCGTAAAGTGTGCTACTGTCGTGCCTATAAATGTTGAACAAAACGTTAGCAGGGTCCCATTTTGATATAGCCAGGCGGAGTGGGTGGTAAGTGGTAAGTGGTGGAATGTGTTTGTTGTATAGATCTAGTCAGGTCAAGCCAGATAACTTGACTTGTATGAATATCGTGATCTTTGTTAATGATATTGCTGTTGTCGCGGGTAGTTTTTTTTAAGGGAGTTTTGCATATCTTGTATTTTGATTGCCGCCACGTGTTAACTGCAGAGCACGTTATCATGCATCTTGCTGTTTGCGAGCTAAGTTGCCTTTATATGTGCGTAATCGTAATCGTAATCGCACGTCTGATGGAGGTGCATAATCACGGGCACACCATTTCTCAATTTAGTCTTTTTCCAAAATAGTTCAATAGTTTAACCTTAAAAGTCTGACTGGGCTTTCCGCTCGTGCCATGAGGTGAAGTCTAAAGGGGTTATCATGTTTCGTGGGTAAATCCCGGTTCTTCCCCATGGCTAAACAAATCTCAGGACCTGCTTTCGCCACTATGGAACACCGGCTAATGTGGTGACAATGATGCCTGAAACATCATAAAATCCGGTTAGAACACAGGTCAATGTTTGAGGATGAACGTGGACGACAATATGGCTGTTCTTCTGGCTTAGCTGTCTTGGTTTCCTGACCACGTGTTTCTAAACGGGTATCCTATATCCTATTCTGACTCGCGGTTTTCCTGTGATAGGGGGCCCTTTGCACGCTCTTTTCCCCCCGTCTTTTTGTACGTTGCATGCAGTTCGGGTTGGAAACTTCAAAGTGAACGTGCATTTATGTGCTTGATATCAATTACAAGCTTTATTTTTAACCACCGCTGCTTCCATAACCACTTACGCCTTCCTACCCGTCGGAAGTTCCGTTAAGTCAGTGCGCATGCGTCAACGGATTATTAATTATTAAAACCTGGGATTGTAAGGCGTGTCGCATTTTTTATTTTTTTTCCCCGTCTCTCTCAGATCCAAATTCTGAAGCGAAATACGATGCCTTAGTGGCACCAGAGACCACATATCCAGAGCGCAGGTATCTATTATGCATGTGGTATTTTAACAACAATGTCATGAAATGACTATGCTCGTCATCAGTCAAAGCCTCAGTGACCGTGGGCTCATATACTGTTGATGTGCTGATATAAATACTGCCTGCTGCAACCCACTGTTGTGCTTACCCAACAGCAGTGTTACATTTCAGGGTGGACACTTGAGCTGTTTTAAAACATTTTGTGTTGCTGTATTTAAGCTGCATTTATTTAACTTTTAATTTTCCTTCAGGAAGAAGGCCCAAGTTGGGGAGAGATTTATCAGGTATGAAGGCTTTCATTTCTGTATACATATGTGTATATTTGTGGTCCTGTCTGTAATGATGATTGCCAATGTTCAACTGCTCTGAAATCTGGATGAATTAATTCTCTCTGAACTTGGACATCGCTCACATATGATGTCTTCTGCTGTGTACCGAGTGAAGGTTGACTATCAGTTTCTGTTTTTTCCTAGCTGTCCAAATGGTTTGCTGATTGAAGTTCACATGGCTATGCTTGGTATGTTTTTGTTAGTGTTTTTATTTATTTTTTTAATATGATGGTGGTGACTTGCAGTGATTCTGAGGTCTATCCCGATGGGCTCCACATTATGAGACCTTGTCGTTGGAAATACCTCGTAGAAAAACCTGCAGTTTCGCTTTACCCTCAGAGTTATTACCGTTAGCTCTGTGGGATAAAAGTGCAGAACAAGTATTTTAATGCTACGTTCTTGTTATTTTAGATATTTAATCCCTATGGGCTATATTGTTATCTGCAACCAGCTGGATTCTTCTTTATACTTTGTAAGGAATTTTGCTTTAGGCATTGTAGAACTCCATACGCAGGCATGGAAATTACGTAATTGTGCTGAGACCAGTTCCATCTTTGAACATAACTCATTTGGTTTCCAGAATCTCTTGAGGGGAAAAGGATCATTCAGCGATGGTTGAGCATTTCCTGTTTATGGGTGAGTGTAAGGATTCTCCTGTAGATGTTCTGCATGTATGCTTGAGTTGCTAGTAGGGTTCATGTACAGCCTCACTGTAACTTTGTAAGTGTAATTTGCATAGTCCATGCATCACTGATTTCGAAAGCACTGTATGGTATCTGCAGCTAGCTGAATCCAGGCTGGACTGTTCATAACACAGTGCGACAGCAAACTGAGCATGTGGCATCGTTGGTCTTCATGCTCCTTTGTGCTTGGAGTCCTGGTATTTGTGCTTAAACATGATTTTTTGCAGTTCTGTCATTCTTCACACTAATGTGTAAATATTTGACACATGCCATTATGAAGTGGCATTTAATGTGCTGGAGGATGCTACAAATCTTAAGAATTTATTTTCCTTTAAATCTACAGGTCTTGTGAAGAATCCTTACAGGTGTTTGGACAATGAAACTGACACACAAGCCAATCGTTTTTGAGGCTTCATGTCTATATATGGGCAGTGTGTGACTCAGTGGGCTAAGCCTGTGTGCCTGTAATCAGAAGGTCGCCGGTTCAAACCCAGCCTCAGCACGTATGCGGGTCCTTGAGCAAGACCCTTAACCCCCAGCTCCCTGGGCGCTGCTACAGGTGGCTGCCCTTCGTGGACAGCTTACTCTACAAAGAGCAAGCTGAGGAAGGCGTAAAGACAATTTCCCCACGGGGATTAATAAAGTATTATTATTATTATTATTATTATTATTATTATTATATGCTCACCTAAAGGATTATTAGGAACACCTGTTCAATTTCTCATTAATGCAATTATCTAATCAACCAATCACATGGCAGTTGCTTCAATGCATTTAGGGGTGTGGTCCTGGTCAAGATAATCTCCTGAACTCCCAACTGAATGTCAGAATGGGAAAGAAAGGTGATTTAAGCGATTTTGAGCGTGGCATGATTGTTGGTGCCAGACGGGCCGCTCTGAGTATTTCACAATCTGCTCAGTTACTGGGATTTTCACGCACAACCATTTCTAGGGTTTACAAAGAATGGTGTGCAAAGGGAAAAACATCCAGTATGCGAGAGTCCTGTGGGCGAAAATGCCTTGTTGATGCTAGAGGTCAGAGGAGAATGGGCCGACTGATTCAAGCTGATAGAAGAGCAACTTTGACTGAATTAACCACTCGTTACAACCGAGGTATGCAGCAAAGCATTTGTGAAGCCACAACACGCACAACCTTGAGGCGGATGGGCTACAACAGCAGAAGACCCCACCGGGTACCACTCATCACCACTACAAATAGGAAAAAGAGGCTACAATTTGCACGAGCTCACCAATATTGGACAGTTGAAGACTGGAAAAATGTTGCCTGGTCTGATGAGTCTCAATTTCTGTTGAGACATTCAAATGGTAGAGTCAGAATTTGGCGTAAACAGAATGAGAACATGGATCCATCATGCCTTGTTACCACTGTGCAGGCTCGTGGTGCTGGTGTAGTGGTGTGGGGAATGTTTTCTTGGCACACTTTAGGCCCCTTAGTGCCAATTGGGCATCGTTTAAATACAACGGTCTACCTGAGCATTGTTTCTGACCATGTCCATCCCTTTATGACCACCATGTACCCATCCTCTGATGGCTACTTCCAGCAAGATAATGCACCATGTCACAAAGCTCGAATCATTTCAAATTGGTTTCTTGAACATGACAATGAGTTCACTGTACTAAAATGGCCCCCACAGTCACCAGATCTCAACCCAATAGAGCATCTTTGGGATGTGGTGGAACGGGAGCTTCGTACCCTGGATGTGCATCCCACAAATTTTCATCAACTGCAAGATGCTATCCTATCAATATGGGCCAAAATTTCTAAAGAATGCTTTCAGCACCTTGTTGAATCAATGCCACGTAGAATTAAGGCAGTTCTGAAGGCAAAAGGGCGTCAAACACCGTATTAGTATGGTGTTCCTAATAATCCTTTAGGTGAGTGTATGTCTGAGCCCTGGTGGCCAGTCTTCCCTGATTGCTCTTTCTGATGGAATGGACAGAGTGTGAAGGTTGAATTAGCACAGCGATAGCAGTTGTTCATGCGGTATGAGTCTGCACAGCATGACATGCGTAAGAGTCCGAAAGACGGCAGATTGTTGGTGTGTCTCAGGCCTTTTTGGTATATCGACAGCCACAGTATCCCGGGTTGCCTGCATATCACCACGAAGGACAGACCATGTCCAACAGGGGTAACTGTGGACGCAATAGGAAGCTGTCTGGAAGGGATATCTGGGTACTAACCTAGATTGTGTGCGAAAACAACAAAACCACAGCTGCCCAACTCGCTGCAGAATTAAACATGCCCCTCGTCTCCTGTTCCCACCAAAGCTGTTCATTAGGAGCTCCACAGGGTCGGTCATGGTCACCCTGTGATAGCCAATCCTTTGGTCACTTGTGCCAGTGCTGGACGCCTGTTTCAGTGGTGCTGTGTATCAGGATGATGATGCATCAGTACATACAGTAGGAATGGTGGCAGGGTGGTTTGATAAACATGAAAATGCTAAATGCCTGCAGTCACCAGATCTGATGATATTGCGCCACTTTGGGGTGTTTTGGAGGAGCGAGTCAGGAAACGTTTCCCAAGAAGAACTGATGCTTTGTTGCCTGCAAAAGGAGACCCTACACCATACTAATGCCCAGGGCCGTGCAGAGACGTTTAAAGGGGCCGGTGCTCAAAGTTAAAAAACATAGAACAGGCTGAATAACAACAACTCGTATTCATGACGAATCTAATATGGAATTATATGGATATCCATATTAGATCGTTTTTAGTGAAATAAAAGCTCTCCAGAAAAGAAGGGAAAAGTCCTGTAACTTACTTTAAAGCAAACCATGTTCCCTAAAACGGTGGACAGAGCTACAGACCCCCTTGTAACACCCTTACCTGGTTAACTAGCAGCTAATGACCACCATTACTTGTGCAGTTGTTCATAAAAGGACAGGTAATGCTTGTCGCGCTGTTGCACAAACAGCAAGCTCATTTATTTCAATTCATTTGTTATAGACTATAGTGTGCGCTGTACACCCTATTTACTGTTTTGTTGCAGTCTGCACCTTCCAACTAATTTGCCTGCTTCTCCTCCAGCTCCGCACCACCCAGCCTGCAGAAAATGCACGTGCACTTTGCGAGCTCGTACCCGGCTCGTAACGAGCGCGCTCTGCCCTCAAGGGCGAGCATTGGTTAATGGCAGTCATGTGACTGATGCAAGCCAGATCCTTGTATTTGGCAAAATTGAGATTAATAGTTACATTTTATTGTTGAGGGGCAAAGACAGGGCTCCATACACACATACACATAAAAAAAAAAACCAAGAAAAGCGCTCTTGAGGCATCCTGGAGGAAAGGGGCGGGTGCTCAAGCACCCTCTGCCCCCCCCCTCTGCACGTGCCTGCTAATACCTTATTATGGTCTAACACCAGGTGTCAGTTTCATTGTCCAGCCCATTAGCCTGGCAGGAAGCCTAGCCCATTAGCCTGGCAGGAAGCCTGACCCATTTGATAGGTAGGTATGAATGTTATTGTCCGTCCTATTGATTATTTGTGTAAATTTGGTCATATACCAAGGCTACTAGGATGGCTTTTGTTCCTGGTCTGCTGTGGACATGACCAAAAAGTAAACTCCAGATGTTTCACGTCATCTGATGTGACACTCTGGAAACATTCACATTTTATTTGTGGAAGAAATTGTTTGAGGAAACTTTTGTATTAATTCTTTTCTTCTCTAAACAGGGTTGCTCTGTGCACAAAGGCTGAAGAATGGTGAGTGGACCGACCGCAATTCAGGGATCACTTCAAAGAGGGGTAGCCAGGCTGTTCCACTGGCAATGTCTTACGCGGTGATCCAACATTTACTGCCCACAAGGACCTGATATAGATTCTGGAAGTGAGTCTTTGACGTCACATGGGCTACATTTCATTGTGGTTTCTTACTGACCTTTGGTAAACTGTTGCTAGATGTGTTTTGTAGCACTTTTTCCTTAATCCTGGTTTATCAATTAACAGCTGATCAAAGCCCCGTTGTCTTATGCAATAGGGCCATGGGGAGGTCAGTCGGCAACCAAAACTCTTCCTTCTGGCTGGAGATGTGCCAAGCTTATGGAACTGCAGAGTCGCTTAAATCTTTGCCATGCTGCACTTTGGTCAGGTTGTCTGCTGCCCCTGGGTCTATTTTTATTTTGAATCATCCTTTTATAAATTTGTATTACAATTTAGTAGGTTGTGCTTTGTAGCATTGTGACCCTGTGTGATACAGAGAACTGTTTCTGCACCTTTTTAAATCTGCAATTGACTGCTTTAATAATGCATGTAATTTGTTCATTGCAAGTGAAATAAAGTCCCTTTTTCATTCACTGAGCTGTACCACTTTATTTACATTATATCAAGCAGTTATCATTGGGTGTGACTGTCCAGCCTCTGAGCTTTAATCAACTTCAGTTCATTTTATTGTAATGGAGTCCGATTTTAAAAATACAGTGGCTAGTGCTAGATTGAGATTCAAGTGTGTATGTGTGAGAGAGATGCTTAATTTACACCTTATGAACAGACACTTGTTCCTTTCAGGATTTCTTTATATAAATACCCACCCGCTGTGTCCTGGGCTCACCTGAATTTGCACACACTTAATATAGTGACATGGCTGTCTGGATCTAGAGCCGTCCTATAGCTAAAATGTAATTAATGAAAGGCTGCCACACAAGTGTCACATTGTAGGGGAATATAACGCTAGTTTGTAGCTTTCAGCTGCAGTTTAGTTTTATTAAATCTTTGCGAAACAACCACTACTGCAAACTTTCTTTTTGTGTGTTAACCCAATGTTTAAAACTGCCTTTTGCAACTGTATGAAACCACAAAGTCCAGATTTTTTCCTTACAAGATTTAAAGAATATTCAATGAAGCATTCTCAATTTTCCAAGTAGTGTTGCTGGGAGAGCCGGCACTGACAGAGTACCCGTTTGAACCTAAGGTGGTGTTTATTTTTGTTTTCGAAAGGCTCCTCTGAGATCAGAGTGCTTGACGATCTTATCTCTCAATACAAAAGGCTGCTTGTTTTATGGTTCCCTGCCTTGGTTACCTAGAGTCATCACTTGTGAATAATTAAACTGATGCCTGCAGGAGATGGAGAACAAGGAGGTGTTGCCATGTGTACATTTGAAATAATTCTTTTAAGAGTTGCAATGTATTTTTTGAACAACTAGGTGATAAAACTACAGGCTATATATCAGCTTCACAGTTTTCTGCAATGCTGGAATTTACAACTCAGAAGTTGCCTATCAATATGTTTAGTAGGAGCATCTAAATGCTACTGCTAATAGGAAAAGGAGTTGTAATATTCACTCTGCATTGGCCCAGTTTTGACCCTTAACCATTTAACCTTGAAATACTTTAATCTCAGATGTTTTACATAGGAACGTGACATTTCCTTGTATTTAAGGCTACATTGTGCAGTATATTACATGACTATTGTGATTAATGGATTAGTTATCAGGATAAGGCTGTGTAACATACTAAAATATTTAGTCGTAATTCGTGTGTTCACGGATATTGACTTTTGCATTATTATTGCAATGTGATGAATGTTGAAAACCTTTTAAGATTTTGCAATGCAAAAGTTCAGACTCTACCCCTTGTACTTGTGGTGATAAGCATAAGTTTCCTCTCTTTTCATACTGTGGCACTTGGTCGCCACATAATTTGGGCCTTTCGTGGCTACTGTGACTGAGGGACTTCGGTCCTGAATTATTCATATCTTATGACGTCATTTCATAGCAGACAGTGACGTCTGGCTCAGCTGTTCCCGGGGACAGACAAAGTGTGCGTATCACTGTCTCACCTGATGAAATTAGGAGAGTTTGATTAACACATTTGAGTGTATCATGATGAGAATGGCTCAACATATGTGTAGGTCAATCTATACTCAGGCCTTAATCATATAATTTCATCACACAATTGGTTGTTTTTGCATTTCAAACAAATCTTCGATAAAGTGCCGCTTGTACTGTGATTGAATTAAGGGTAGTTGATTTATTACGATTGGTTTGATCTTTGACAGCCACATACATCTGGCGAGTTAATTTTTATTTACCTTTTTAATGAGGCCCTCCACTGTTTGTGCGTTAAACCCTACACTGAGATTTCGAAAGGAAATATGCTGTATTCAAAACATATTATTTGCAGAGTTGTAGTTTTTGATTCGAAACCGATATGATTTTGTTAAATATAAGAACTCTGTTTGATGAGCTCATTTTATTTTAGATGAGCAACATTTCTGCGAGGTGCTTAAAATACATTTCATTGCTCTTTTTAAAATCTGGGTTACTTTGGAACGCCCCAAAGTTAATGTGACTGAACTACAAGTCCCATCATGCAATTGACGTATGGGACGCCCTCCACTGGTCCTCCCCTTCGTTTGAGTGGCAAGTTGTTTGTTTCACTGATACCAGCTGCTGGACTATTCCAATCCCTGTCGGAGAGAAAACACGGGGACCACCAGTCTTTCTCTTCTCACCCTCCCCATTTACCTCATTGTGGTTTCTTTTATTTCACTCTGCTCTTCTGTCTTCTACTCGTCTCATCGGATAACTTTCCTTTTCCCCTCTCTTCAACCTGCTGCCTGCTTCGTTTAAAGGTTTTAAAGCTCCTTTTCTATTTATTTATTTATTATTTTAAAGGAAGGATAAATATGTATTTTTAGATAATCTGCAAATGAGAAGACGTAAAAGATGGAGTTGCATATTTTAGAACACAGCTTGAAAGTAGCAAGTATAGCAAAGGAAGGTATTCAGATTTGCACTCACGGATTAATTAAACTCGCCTTCTTGCCTAGTAAAACAAGGTAAGTAGCTAGCTACGAACAATGCAAGTCCGTAGTAATTTAAGAAACGCAATAAAGCAAGAAACTGCACGTTGCGTTTCTCTTATACCGTTATTGTTTTTTTAAAGATATCTTTTTTAAATCTGCAACCATGTTCTGTTAATTAGAGTCAAGTTATTCTTATTGCAGTTGTATTGCATGCTGTGTCGCTGTTGCATGAAAACGAGACGCCCAAAAGTAAATCGTCCGCTACATTTTCATTAATTTGTTATTGCGTTGTTTCCCAATACCTTTGTTTTTTGGGGTTTTTTTGTGCAAGATAGTCGACGCGAGGGAAGTGTGCGTACAGCGGTACGGCCGACAAAGGGGGCGGTGTTAAATTAAACTTCAACCGGCTTATACGTCTCACTCCGAGATGCAGAAAGCATACAGTCGGTAGTGTAGCAAATTGCAGTCCATGTAGATCCAGCCGATCTCCTTTGCCGCCTCTCACGGGCAAACTAACACCGCTGCTTCTTTGCGTTTGTCGTCTCTGTTGCACAAAGTATCCCCCCCTCCTCTGCAGCGGCTCCGTGAACCAGTCCCGTCCGTATAGGCCTGATTCTGGGGCCAACTTAAAAGACCTTACATGTCGGGGAAAACTTTGCTTCCCCGCCGTTGCAATCGATGAAAAACAAGGGTAATGAGCAGAGTGCGTCCCGAAGGCAGACGCTCCTCCACGGCGCAGAAATGTCTCGCTGGCCTGACGGCGTAATCTCGATGATATTTTATTTTAAACATTTGGCTCCCTTTTATTAAAGCAGTGTTTCTAATATTGTCATTGTAAAGCGGTTGATGTATTTAAGGGTATTGTTGGAAAAAATCCGATTGTCAGAATGTTTCAGTTCGGCATGTTTTTTTTTCCCCCAGCCGTGATGTTATTTGTTACCGTTGAACGTGTTTGGTAAATCGGGGCGAGCGGACTGATAAACGACCGCCTTAATTAACCCAGGCATGTGTTTTCCCCCAAAAAGGGCCAATATTTTACTTCCTCTTTAGCCAACTTTTTAACTGAATGCTGTAGAATATATCAGTCATGTTTTTCTGGAGTTATGTAGGGACATTTTTAAAATGTGACACGAAAGCCTTGTATCAGTTATTGTTAGAATGAGGGAAGATTTTAAGCGAAATTCAATGCAGGTGCTTGAAACTAATGTGGCGAATAGTCTTAACTGACTGTTATAAACGTCACCCACCTTTTTAGCATTTTTAAATGCAGACTCGGTTTCTTTTTCTTTAAGCCTTTGGGTCTTAAGTATTGGAATTATAACCTGCTTGCTAACGTCAGCACGGTGTGGGCCGGGTATCTGAGTATGAAGGTGTCTGGCAGCCAGGTTGCTGCCTGTCAATGCCTATCTCGGGAGCTTTCGTTTTGAGTGTTATCAGTCTCCAAAGCGCACAAAAGCAGCATCAGCACTGATAAAAATGAATTCTGACCTGTCGTCCAGTGATAAATACATTTATGTCCACCTTTCCAACCACATTTTTTTTTTTATGTGTCCTGTCCGGCAGCTTTCGCAAGCAGAATAATGGTCTGAATGCACTGCTGTGTCAGACATATTTGCTTTACCATGAGGGGCCACATTTAATGCCAGCGTCTAAGAGTATAGTGCTGTCCCTCTGATTTGGCGTTCATGTTTTCAATAGCAGATGTCAGTAGTTTGTTTGCTTTCAAATTAGATGTTTCTTGGGTGGTACGTTTGATATCCTTGCTTGTCTTTAGTTTTGACAAGTAAAATTGGAAATGAAACAGCCTGTGTATTTTAGCTTCCTGGTATCTTCAGTCATACTTTCATGTTAGTTATCTAGGCCTGCACTCGTCGGTGCTTTAAGCTGGTCATTTCCTTGCAATTTTGAAAGGTAAAAAATATACACGTAGCTTGTTTAAGTCACAGTATGGTACTTGAGTTTTCTTCAGTTGTTGGACCAGAAATGAAGGTTTATTTTTTTTAGGACTTGGGGGTGCTTGAAATAGCCCAAAACTCAGTCGCTGTATGGAAAGTGTTTCACATCCTTATGGAATGTGAACGATCATGGGAAGAGCTCTGTCGACACATTCGGACTGATTGCTTGAAAGATCCGTTGCATTATAAAACACTGGTTAAGACTTATATCGTGCCTCTGCTGACTCACTGTCTGATTGTTTATTTGAAGACTCAAGGGTAGAAACAGACTACTAGTGTGTGGGCGGAGGGTGTCACATCTGGTGCAAGAGAGAGAGGTGTATGAAGGTCTAATGCTGAACCCGGCCTTCCACAATAAAAACAGAAGTTCTGCATATTTGTTGAGATATCTAAATGATTGCAGATGCTTAACCTGGTTAGAAAGGGCAGCGGGATCAGTTGCTTATGTGTTTGTACCTTTTCAGGGTGTGTAATGGAATTGTGATTATTTTTTACCTGCCGTTGTGGCTGTTGTGCCAAAGGACTCGCATTAAAAAAAAACTGGGGCGAAATAACCGTCACCTGGTTCCCTTTCTTAATCCTTAAACGGTGAAGTTGCACTCTGAAGTTTATTTTAGTACCTGTAACAATCGGCTGACATTTCAGTTGTCAGTTGTCGTGATAGAACATGACCAAATTTTTGCAGGAATTGCGTCACCTTTCTTGAGGCATTCTCTAGTATCTCGAAAACAAAATCATTTAGTTTTCCTCTCACTATTTATAGTTCACACAGCTAAGGTGTAATCTACATGTAAAATTTACTAGGTTCACATGTTCCTAATGACGTATCATGTTTAAGTCTAACTGGTCTAACATTTGTCAGCTACGCATTACACTGACTTGAAGCAACCACATGCTAACTAGCTAAATAATAACCGTGTTTTGCTTTTAAGCATTTACATTTTTGAAAATGTTATTTTACTTCTGAGTGAAAACACACACCAATTTGAAGGTGGAGGACATTATACATGCTTTCTGTGAATAGGAGGTTTTAAATAGTTTAAATTCATGTAAAAGGGAGAATGTGTTAGATTTTGTTTGGCTTTCTTTGGATGTGGTTTATCCATGTGTCAGATGCCCAAATATCCCAGGTTACTTAAACAAAGCTTATCCCTATTAGTTGTCTGCCTCTTGTAAACCCAGGATTTGAATTTTTTCCTCGATAGTACAGAAATGGGATTTTTGGAGTTTATCACCTAAATTGATGTGGAAATAAAACAAATATGGCAATTGACCCATTTTATTTTACTTTTTTCAGAAGTTTTGCTAATACAGCCCTATAATAATTATACTCAATCCAAGAACTGTGGTAATTGAAGTCTGTAGCGGAAGTGGATTGTGGCTCTGTTGTAATAGTGAAAAGGCAAATTGTTCTCCCATACCAGTATCAAAATTTGTTTTACAGTGATTGTGTTCTCTGGTTAGTTGCTTTAGCCAGGATCATTCTGGTCCATCCAGTATGTGTGTTGGATGTTGGCAGGGTTCCTCTTAGCCTTCTGAGCCCTGCTTTATGAAGCAGGATTTCTTGCTTAGCCGGATAACTTATTACATTTAGCCCAGATTACCTTAAATCTAAATCGGCAATGATAAAATCCAATGTAGTCTTGCCTACCTTAAATATGGCAAGTTATCTGGCTAAACAAGAAATCCAGCTTCGTGAAACAGGCCCTATGTCTGTTTGAACCTGTGCGACTAATTTATGAACTCCACTTGGGTATCTTGTACCAGTTTACTAGGGCACTCGGGCGGGGGGGACTGAATTGAAATGTGGGTAAAGGAATACATTTCCGTATTCTTCTCAGTTATTTTCCTGTCTGATATTGAAATTTTTACCAATGACCAAAACTGTACATTAAAAGTAAGCTATAGATGTCTGTGTGATCAATTTCATTGCCCTTAACTTTTTTTTTTTTTAAAGCTGTTTTTGCATGACCTGTCTTTGCATCTCACCTTCGTTCCATCCGGTTTCGGTTATTGCTAAAACCTGTCATGTTAAAAATGTTGCTAAAATCTCAGGAAGGGGAAAAAAATCTGCATAACGAGCACAATATGTGGAACATGTGGGCAATGACTCTAAGTGAAACACAGCACTATTGGGAAAATAGAGATTTAAAGCTGTCCAGAGTCCTCACTTTACGCGGTTGCCCTGAAATGAAAGAAGTGTGTGGGTGGATGAGCCGTATCATAAATAAAGGCCCCTCTTTTCACCGCGTTCAGCGCTGCTTTGGGTTTTATGAGCAACATAAAACTCTCCCTCAACCGCTGTGTCAATTTTAATTGCGTGGAATGAAAATACTTGCATTCTAGTTTTGACCTGGACATTTTGTCGGCTAAGTTTCCTATCACGATTTGCCCAGTAATATTTTTACCGCAGCATTCTTAAGATGCACTGATGATCCAGTCGGTTTTGCGTGCTCTTATGTTTCACAGGGAGATGCGGAAATGCATGGGACGGCTAGTATCTTGAGTCAAGCCACCAGAGGAGTTTTGGGGCTCGTTACCAATCACAGTCTAATTTTTATCTAGGTTTTCCAGCTTCGGCTTCATAACTTCGCATTGGGCGCATCATGTGAATGAGAATGTGACTGTTCAGGTTAATTCATGCGCGCAGCAATGTCCAGTGAGCTTGTTCATCTGTTCTTCAGATGTAAATTCTTCAGTCTGACGGAAACTCCGGAGGATTACACCATTATTGTTGACGAAGAAGGCTTCAAAGGTCAGTCTATTATACATTTATCATTGCACTTTCAGGGTTTGCAACTACACAACAAAATGTGGCCATTGTCACCCATCTGTCTGAATTTCACTGTTTGACAGTACATTAACGTAGAGGTAACAGTGCTTTTCCCACCATGGGTTAACAAGGCCAGACTGTTTGTTTTTTTTGGTTGAGTGAGTGAATCCGTGTCATTAGCCTGGTTGCTAGGGTGACCCTCATTCGTAACCATGGATACTAGAAGTCCTGTTTGCAGAACCGGTCCAGGTACCCTGGACAGATAGGAAGTTTTGTTTTGTTTGTTTGTGTACCTTTCTCTGCCAAAGTAAATCATCTGAGAATCGCCATTAAATCTGGTCAGAAAAAGTGCAACGTGGTGTCTTATGAGGCAGATGTTGATGTGCTATTTTATCTTGATAAACCAGGATTTGTGTCTGTGGTTGTTTACTTCATCCATTTATTAGTGGGTGCTAGGTCAAAGATGGGGGGGGGGGATCAGGTGAAAGACATACACTTCAGTACAGCACTTTGGGAAAAAATTATGTAACAAAATGTAGTGTCACCCTAACACTCATTTGGTTGAGCGTAATGGAAGACGGATGCATGTAAGAGGGGCAGAGCATAAAAGCGTTTTAGCTTAGCAAGATTTTATTGTTGGTTTTTTTTTTTTTTAATTATTCAGCACAGTGTTCATTATATCTCAGTGTTTTCATTAATTTAGAATAATTTCAGAACTTTTATGAGTGGCAAAATCTGCAAAAGATGCCAGTGAGGTGCCGTCTTTCACCTATGAATCAGAGATCGCTGTAAAAAGCAGGTCTGTGGGGCTGATGGTGATCCTCTTGCTGTGTTTCAGAGCTGCCTGAGTCCGAGCACCTCAGTGTTGCGGAGGCCACATGGCTGGCGCTCAATGTGGTTTCGGGGGGTGGAAGTTCCTCCAGCTCTCAACCAATCGGGGTCACCAAAATTGCCAAGTCGGTGATAGCCCCTCTGGCTGACCACAACATATCGGTGTTTATGTTGTCCACCTACCAGACTGACTTCATACTGGTGAGTCTTTTTTTTTTTTTATCTTCAAAAGGAATTCTGTTTATCTGTTCTTTTGTTTTCATTCATAGGTACCATTTGACATTGTCACAATGACTGAACAACAACAAAGAGCTGATGTATAATGCGCTTGGAGCACCATGTAGCAAATGTTTTGAAAGAGGTCTCGTTGATGGCCCTCGCGCGTCAGTCACTAAGTAAACGTGAAATTCCAGACGTTCAGGGTTTCATCATACTTTTCAGTGAAGAGATTAAAGACAGGTTTGTCTTATCCTTGTGCTGGACTGTCATGGAAATTTGTCATCTCAAAAAATAAGACCTGAGAAGCTTCTTGATGAGGGTAAATAGTGTCAGACGTGTCAGTGATTCCTTCAGTTTGCCTTTGTAACAAAACAAGTGTTGTAGTGAAATGTTCTTCTGTTTTTTGTGTTATAGTGAGGTAATGCTCACTTTAATTTCAGCAGATTATAGAACGTATAGGGGAGGCAGTAATCACTTTGTCTATCCTTGCCTAATTGTTGTTGTTTGTTATTATTAATATTGGTCTTTGGGTTGAAGGTGGCAGTGGGGCATTTAATGAGTGCAGTTACAAGAGGAATTGGAAACAATGTCAGTATTGAAATATGTCAAGCCTTTGCCACGATTCTAAAGTACCGTCGAATAAGTAAGTTTTACTGTGTAGGGAAAGAAACGTCCAGCAGTATTGTCCAGCAGCGAGCTAATATTTGCAGGTTGTAGTGAAAGTTTGGTGAGATTTGAAAATGGTGCATGTTAGATAAATCGTACGTGTCAGCCAGACACTGTCCCAGTGTGTAATAAAGGCTGTATAATGACATTGTACTGAGCCAGTGTCGTGCTGAGTGAATTTCTGTATACAGTTAGAGGTTAAATCGGAATGCAGTGTATGTTGTATAAACAAACTGGAGGGGTGTTTCCATCGGCATTATCTGGCAGGCAAATGCCCTCCAAGATGCGCTGCCATTGGGCCGGTGTCACTTTGTTTGCTTTAATCCATTTCACTCGTTTGTGCTGATTGTGACGGACCACAAATGTCCTAATAGACGTCCCTCCATGGCTCCTCTCACTTCATAGTTTTTATTTAACAACTGGTGCTAAGTACATTTGTGATGGAGTATTGATCTCATCACAACAGAAGTGTGTTTTTTTTCCTCCTCCTTTATCGATTCCTTTGTTAAACAGTTAGTTTAATTCTTTACAGTGTAAGTAATCGATATTGTTCTGTCGCACACTTTTGGCTCCTTTCTGTAGATATGCGCTTACTGCCGTGCTTCGACTCTGATTTATCAGATGTCAGTTTCAGGGCTGGGATCAATTTGAGAAGCTCTGCTCCTGTTTAGTTACTCAAAGCACGACTCTCTTCACTGATTACTCGCTGAAATGTCCTTCGCATGTATCACCTGTGTGTTTGTGGAAGGGTGTTTTCATTTGCAAATCTCCAGAAAGGGGCCAAAAAAAGAGAATTTCAGCAGCACCAAACATGTATCTTGTGTTATCAAACTCCGCTTGAATGACTTGTCCCCCTGCACACTGCATCAGCTTAAAATAAACTTCCATCTGAGCTAAACTGTACCAGATGTTTCCATTATTCTGTTAGGCTTTCAAACTTTAATAGATGACCCTTTGCACAAGCAATTCCTTAATCAAGCTAATAGTTTCCTATCCTGCAGCCTGTCTCGAGGGCAGTGAGTAAGGTTTCTAGAGGAACTGGGATGGTGATAAACCAGGTCCTGTTCACGGTGGAGAAATGGAAGCTGACGGCAATCTGGCCCCAGTTGCATAAGGAGGATTAGCTTCTTGGTGGAATTTGCTGTAACATACATTGGGCGACTATGTCCCACACCAGCTGCTCTTGGTCAGAAAACAATCGCAAGCTTTAAAGAAACCAAGCAAACAACCTGCTTTGTGGTATCCGATTACAAGCAGGATAAAGGCAGGGGTCGTGAGACCCCCCATCACAACCGCATGCGTGCACACGCTCGCACGTCCACCGCAGTTAAATGTCTCCACAAATATACAAAGATAAATCCAGAATCAGAAAACTTTTCTCACCTTGTCCCTTGTGTGTGTCATTACGTATCAGTTTCCGTCATGAGCTTTAACATTTTTAGCCTGGTAATGGTCCTCACAAGGCCTAATTAGGTATAATTAAATGCATATGAAGTATGCATGTGTTTGTTCTTAATGTAAGCCCTGTATGATTTTTCCAAATGTATTACACCAGTAAAATTTTCTTGGATGTTTGTAATGTGTTCCTGCATTTGTTTTGAATTTCTTGCTGCTTTTTTGCTCTGCTAATTCTGTGACTTGTCAGCTTGGGCTGGTGTGCACATTTGTTCCAGAATATGAGACTAGTTGCCTTTGTAACTGTACTTCTGTGTGTTCAGTTTTCCAAAAGCATTTTTACTGTACCGGCTTCGTTGTTGTATATCACCTTTATCTCAAAGATGTAACCGCATTAAAACATGTTGAAATGATTCACTTTGTTCTATGGGGTAAGTGAGTCGGCTGCATCCTTCATCGAATGGGATCTTAATTAAGCTCCTCTGCATTCCTCCGATTTTGCTTCTGCAGGTGAGAGAGAGAGACCTGCCGATGGTCATGCACACCCTGTCCTCCGAGTTCACCCTTCTGCGTGTAGTGAATGGCGAGACTGTTGCCGTCAACAGCCTGGGGGTCACCAATGGCTTTGTAAAGCCGAAATTGGGTAGGGCCAAGTTCATAACGTATGAGTCATGTATCATTGATCAACATAATAGCTGTACTTCCCATACCTGTGCAGTATGTGTGTCCTGGCAAACTGACCAACAGCTCATATAGACCAGGGTTGCCCAACCCTGCTCCTGCAGATCCACCCCCCCCCGCTGAGCTTAGGTGCCGCCCAAATTCAACACACCTGATACAAATAATCGGTCCCTTCAGTAATATCTCAGTATCCGAGCCACCTTAGCTTCAATATAGCTGACTCTAATACTGATATGATACTGAAGGACCTGATTTATCTGTATCAAGTGTTTCAAATTAGGACTGTACCTAAACTCTGGCAGCACTGATATAGACTGTTGGCTGAAGACTGTTTTTGCTCACAGTTTTAGCCTGAACTATGAAACTCTTGTTATTAATCTGAAACTTTTATCCAAATTGACGTACACTAGAGGGAAGGGTTACAGTTAAAGTACTCCCTCAGATTTGAACCTTCAGGTTGTTAATAGAATGCTCTACTTGTTGAGCTACGGGAGCATTGGTTTAACCCAAGTTTCATTTTCTGATTCGGTGTTAGCATCTTAAATTCCACTCTAGCAACTTCCGTCAGTCGCTCTTGGCACTGTGCCAAACATGGTGTCTTGTCTCCAGTCCAGCGCCCAATCATTCACCCCCTGTCCAGCCCCAGCAACATGTTCTGTGTGACCAGCCTGAACCCTGATACCCTGCCTTCTGTGGCCACTCTGCTAATGGATGTCATGTTCTATTCCAGTGGGTAAGTGTCCCTCCATGTGCTGACATGTATCCGTAGTATAAAGCTAAGGTTCTGTCTTAGGTTAGTAGAAAAACACTTATTTGTAGTTATAACAACTGATTCCATCCTTTGACACTTTAGGGTTAAGGAGCCTGCAGGAGCCAGTGATGATTCTGGGCACATTCGCTTCTTCTCCTTTTCCCTGATTGAAGGCTACATCTCTCTGGTCATGGATGAGCAGATGACCCGAAGGTGGCGTATAAATGGCTTTGCCTCTTTATCTTTTCTGACCTGCAGCTTACATGACCTGTAGATTGAATGGACATTCTGCATATTTTGTATTCCTTATATCTTTTTTTTGTTTGTTTCCCAATCCGGCCCTTGGGGTCCTGCAGACAGTCCACGTTTTAGCTAGAGAGCTGGGAGGGAGCAGAAACGTGGACTGTCTGCCGGACCCCAAGGACCGGATTGGGAAACACTGCTCCCAGACAACTAAGAATGGCCACCATAATTTTTGAAGGCTGAGAATCAGTTTGAACGTTTGTCCCCAACCTGTCACTTTGTGATGCTCCAGGTTTCCCAACAACGTTCTCTTCACCAGTGCCTCAGGAGAGCTATGGAAGATGGTTCGCATCGGAGGGCAGCCACTCGGATTTGGTGAGTCTTACCTGCATGGATATTTCTTCTTTGTCTATAGTTAGCAGCCAATGGACAAGGACAAATAATCAGACAGTCCTCTGTCCATCTGTACAAAGGGACCAAGTGCTGGAATGTGTATAAGTGATGTATTTTTTTTGTTTTGTTTTTTTTAAATGTTGATTGGCGGAGCGTTATTTGACTTAGTCGGTTAGGCCCATGATCAGAAGGTTGCTGGTTCAAAATCCAGTGGTCAGCAGTGTGATTTTTTTGCCTTGGGCCCTTAATTTCAACTGCGACTAAGAACTCTACCTTCTCTGTTGTATTTTCTGTTGGATTTAAAGCATCTGCTACATAGATGTAATGTAAAATCTGAATGGTTTTTATGTGTTTTGTTATACAGAAGTAAGCTCTCTATCCACACGTGGCTGTAACTTTTCCCACCCTTGCTTTTGGTGCTGACAGATGAGTGCGGCATTGTGGCTCAAATATCTGAACCTCTGGCTACTGCTGACATTCCAGCGTACTACATCAGTACCTTTAAATTCGACCATGCTTTGGTGAGTTTGCCCTCGTCCGGAACACAGCCTTTGGTTTGGATCCTGAAGAGTTCCGTTTTGGGGCTTCAGATGAATACAGATCTACTTGTGCCCCCCGTGAACCCTAAAGCATTGTCATTTAAGGTTAATCTGTATTGGATTTCTGTTCTGGGGCTAGAAAGTAGTCACACAGCCCCAGACTAAACTTCTGCTTCTCCCTTTAACACCAGTTTTGGCAAATCCAGTACATTGTATTACAGGGATTTTTTTTCTTTATAAAATTCATTTTGTGTAATTACCCTAAGAAATAAACCATTAGGCAGAGTAAAGTATTAGAAGAATTCTTGAGTGCTCAAAAGCCAGCTAAATGTGCTTATGCAGAGCTCTGAAGTCCACAAATCTGAACTGTAACAAAAGTTTCAGCACTGACAGGAAAAAAAGGTAATGGTTTGCCATGTGGTTTAGCGCAGGGGAGGTGCGGCGGCTCTTAGCTATGCGGCGCACCATGTGACCTGCAGTGTGGTGGGATGGAAGGTTGGCAGTAGGGCTGCACGATATTGGGGGGAAAAAATCACATTGCAATATTTATTCTTTCTGCGATATATATTGCGATATTGGCATTTAAAAAAAATTAATTCGTTTAATAGCTGTATTGCAGGGGAAGTCAGCTAAAATTTAAAGAGGTCCAGTTACAGAAAATTTCTTGAAGCAAAGGTCCGGAAGATCATAATGTCTAACTATTTAGTGTGATGTATATTTAAGTAGCCTATCGGTTGTATCAACATTGCATGTAATCAGTATCTCACTGTCAAGTTAATTCAGTACAATTCAATTCAAGATGTCTGCATAGATATGTAATAATTCTTACCTTGTAAATAGTCTGCTTTTGTATTTAACCGTGTAAATATACTTTTGACGTAGCTTATTTTAGGTTTATAATGGAATAATATAGATTTGCCGTAAGATTTCCTGTGCGAGTCTGAAATCGTGAGTGGCATGCCAAATGCTGAATATGTACAGTTTTTGTTTCACCTTAGTTGATTTATATAACAGATAACATTACTTTACACAGTTGTTAAAAAGCGGAAACTTCCACGAACATGAAATCACCAATAAACTGTCTATTTATCCAACATGTTATATAATACATACTGTGTTTTGGAAACTTTTCAGCTGTATGATTTCAGGACAGGTCAGCTACTCTGTTAGGAGCATTACGGCTTTTTGGTCGCTTTGCTGCTGATATCAACACTAATGGCACATTATGACGGACAAAGGGCTGCATACACCGAACTACGCAGTTAAAAGCGTTTGCTAAACCACTACCGAAAAGACTACAAACGCTGTGCTGGTTAAAATAACCGCCTGTTAGTGACCTCTGCGCTATTGGTATAATTAATGATTCTGGAAAGATTGAGCTGATTTTTGCCCAAATATAATTCGCTTCCGTAGCTGACGCTGCTCGTAGATGGTTCGTGTTCTCTAATGCCCCCCCCTCCCCTTGCTCCTTTACCAGGTCCCCGAAGAAAATATCCAGAGTGTGATTGGAGCTTTGCGGACCAATGAGAGCACAGGACAGTGAAGGGCGGAGCCGTGGGACTGGTGTCTCGCCTCCCTGCTGACACGTCAAGTTACCGTCAGATAATGTCAAACTCAAAAGTGCCAAGAGCTTACCTGTGGACTGCTGGGGGGGGGACTCTTAGTCTGCAATGAGCCCAAATATTCTGTGTTCTGTTCTCAGAGACTGTGCCAACACCACCAAGCAGTAGGTCTAGTTCTGTGGTGATCATAGAGCATCTCCCATCTTCTTTTGTGACCATGCCAGCAGGATCTGTTAAACCCCCAAGCCCGAAATTTTATACCAGCTCCTGAAACATTTTTGTTGGCTGTCCCCTTTGCTGCCCCCCCCCCACCACCACCTCCATTCTTCCCTGACTGCTGGGTTGCTTTGATTTGCCAATCTGACCTGTTCATGCATCAAAAACATTGTTATAACTGCTCTTACATTATCTTAAGGAAAACGACACTGCACAAAGAGAATCTCTGGCATGGTTTATATGTTTAGTGTTATTTTGTTTTTGAATCTCCCCTTGCATACAGTGCCATGATGCTTTGAGCCTAAACCGATGCCTTGCCTAAAGCTGTTTAAAGGTGCAACTACAGGAGAGAATAAGGTGGTGGTATTTACCATGGTGCGGTTTGGCCTCTCAACATTGAATAAGCTGTCTTAAAGTATATGGATTTGTTTGCGTTCACTGTACAGTGATTGATTACTATAGTGTGGGATTTGTTAATACAATAGTTCCTTTCCACAAAGTATGCAATCTTGTTTCAGCAATATGTTGTAGTTAAGCTATATCTGAAGGTGGCTATTGGACATTCAATACAAATTGCATCATTTTTTTTTTTGCCAACGAGGTTATTTATCAGACCAGTGAATTGTCTATTCAGTACTTTCATTGTGTGTATTTTTAGCTGACTGGGGATTAAGTTGAGTCCTTTCAGTGTGCAAACTGAAAACTGACGGCAAGCACAGTATTGGTCAGCGTTCAGTCTGCTTGGAGCCCTTGGCTTCGCTAACAGTTGTGTGCACCTTGGCCGCAGTCGTGAGATGCTCACTTGCAGCAGGTCTTGCACAACTGCCGTCTGCTGTCTCTTCACCACCTACCCCCCCCTCCCCCAACCCCCCAGAAGCGTTGCTTTCTCTTCCATTAATATCAAGGAAATTATTTGTTGAAAAACAAACATATGAACCCCACACCACACTTTGATTCTTACCAAACTAGCTGTTCCAGTATTGGAGGGATAGGGATGGAGACGTTGTCAGTCAGATCATCAGTGGCGGTGGGATCATGTGGGTACATTATGCAACGTTGTCCCTGTTTTTAGGCCTTAAACCCCCCCTGGTCTGCACTTTAAGGTCCCATGGAGCTGCTAATGTGAAAACTAAGCATAATTTGGTGTCCAGGAAGGTAGCTCATGAGACAAGGATTGTTGGGTTGTTTTTCTTCTCGGATTGGTTGTGGCATTTCTCTACACCAAACCCACTTGTTCTAGGAAGCCATTTACATCAGTGTTAGATTCATGGGTGACGTTTATCCCAAGGATTAAAAAAAAAAAAAAAAAAACTTGTTTTGAGCTTGAAGTGCATTTCATTTTGGGAATCCATTTCACCCCAGTCTCTCGTCTTGCCGCGTTTGTTTTGCACACAATGTTTTTAGGGCAACGAGGTACTTTTAACGTAGGATGGGGTTAATTTTTGGTTAGTCTTCTCACACAGTTCAGCTTGCATAGCTTACTTAGCTTTCTCTGTCATACTTTCTGCCACTGAACATTTAAGTTCATCTCTGTAGACCTGATGAGTAAATGAGTGGTTTCGTTACCCTTTTTAGAAAAAGGTAAACAAACTTTCGAGAGATTGTTCTGGAATAGCACAGGTTGTTTTGGACCCCCCTGGCTTCTATGCCTTGTGATGTTCCGTTGTTTTTCTGGGTATGTTATGTAACTTTACTGACACCAAAACCTAAACTGGAGTGAAAATAGCCTTTTTTGAATGAAGCATGCGTTCCTTGTTGATAAAACAATTGCATTTCATTTTTTTTTTTTTGTGGGATATATGTAGAAGTTTTTTTTTTTTTTTTTTTTTTTTTTCCGGCACCAAGTTCAGGTGAAAAGTGACACACGGCCCACTGTCTTGCCATTATTAGGTTCAGGTGGCCTCACGTCTTTTGTACGTGTGACGCTTTTTCATTTTTTGCCTCTGACTCACTTCCAGTGCAACTTTTCTTGCACTAAAATATCAAGTGGCTTCAGACTGTGCAGAGTTAATTTTCCCAAGATTAGGGTGGATGGATCATAGTCCCTATGAGTCGACTTGAAAATGGAAATTAGTTTGAATTCATAACATGAACTTTTGGTTTTACATCCATATTAATTAACTGCAGCGGTAATCCATCATTAATATCTGGTAGTGCTGAATTTCAGGGACGATCCGGTTTTATTTGTAGGTGACCGCAGAACAATTATGGGTGGCAAGTTGGTTCACCCATTTTTATTTTTATTTTTTTTCCCCCCCCAAGCCAAGTGCAGAGCCCGATGAGCCACGGATGGTGAAGATGGCGCTAATCCTTGTGTAGCACTGAGGACATACGGTGAATGGCTGCTCTTCACGTGCTCGATGTTTTGCTTCTAAAACATTGATCCTTTTATTAAGCTAAAGCAGGACTTAAGGTCCGTTTTACATGTTTCCCAGAATAATGTGACTTAAGTTTACAGTGAGCTAGAATCCGGTGGTCTGAACAGTCACGGTGCATGAGGTGACTGTGACAGTCTCAGCATTAAGACCGTGACTGGTGTTTCTCATTTACTTTGGGTCAAATGGAACACAGGTTGAATGGCTGTTTTGAAGGTGTTGATTCTCACATAGTTCTGATTAAATTAACCCGTTGAGAATTAGAACCTAAAAGATGCTGCTCAGTGGACATTATGCAAATTCACCTATCGCCAGATGTTCCTGAGCCTAAACTGCAAGTTTGCGACGTAACTTGAGTCCCGCCGTTTAGCTACTTTTTTTGAATATAAAGGATCATGGGTATTTAGGGTTATTTTTAAAGGGGCTTAAATACTCCAGGCTTGTAGGTTTCTTGTGAAATGTACCCCCACCCCCCAATACTTTTCATGTTTGTTAGAATTTAATGGTGGAATACGAGGGTAAAATCTATAGCTTTCAAGCCAGGAATCTAATTCAAATCTTGGCCAATTTTATAACACTTCCCCAGCCCCTTATGTTGCAACCGCAGAACATTCTTCCTGTAAGCGTTAATCCTACAATTCATTTCAAGATAGTATGTCTGTATGGGGGCTGTGAACTAATGAACTAAAGCTGCTACGTTTTGAATGTATGATCAAAGTGACTATCCCTTAAGAAGGTTTCTATGCTGTGTCCCGCTCACGGCTGGCTGACCCGAGTCATGGGCCTGTGTTCAAGTGTATTTCGTCTGTGGGTTTTTATTTTTTCCCCCCCTTTTTGAAACCTCTTCCCATCACCAAAAGTTAAATGGTTTTGCATTTTCAGATTATCAGAATTGTGAAATAATTAAAAGCAAATTGGTACATCAAGTGTGGCAAATAAAAAAAAAATAAAGTACTTTAATCTGTCAATCTGAATGCAGTATCCTTTCATCAGTGTTGAGAAACATTCTACATTATGTCAACATATTACACTAATTTCTATAATTGTAGAGCAGTGATGTGAATTCATCTTAACATTGCGTTTGTTTACATTCATGTCAGTTTAAGGCTAGTGAACAAAGCAGTACACTGCATGAAACTGGCTTCTGCACATTAGTGCACACAACCAACTGGTGAACAAAGAATGTCAACAGCTGCCGATATTAAATTATCTGTTTGGCAGACCTACAAAAGCTCCTCCCATCCTGGATTCCCCTCCTGCCCTTCAACCAATTCTACCTCTCTGTGACCAATTCAGAATCTGTTTAAAAAAAACCAGCTATGGCATCTACCAAAATGTCACATATAGCATTTCAATACATGCCGTTATGCGACTTAAGAGCATCTGAAGTCTTGAGGACGGCTTCAGTAGAAAGGTCGAAGGTCAGTCTCATGGAAAGCTCCATGGGCAGTCCCTAGCAAACCAGCGTAAGGGCGGTGTCTCATGTCTGGGCCTGGTCAAATCAGGGACTTAACCAGCGCCACCATATGATCAACCCCACATGCCACATCCACCACATGGCCTGGCACGGTCACCTGAAACATGGAACAGCATGCCTTAAAAACAGTTCTGCTTTATAAAGACATTAAAACTCAGCTGGATCCAGCCCTTACCCGCCATGGAAAGAACTGGTCATCCGCCTTGCCGATTCCCAGGCAACCTCTCACATTCTTGCCCCAAACAAAGAGCTCGCCTTTATCTGAAACAAAGCACATTCCTCTCAGGGCCCATACCAGCCTCATATGTACATGCACCGTGGTTTGTTCACTTTGAGCTCAGTTACATTCTCACCAAACAAGTTCATGCCAAACCACTGTCTCTTATTGTTTGAAACAAAGAAGGTGCCTGTATAGATAGATGTGGTTCCATACTATTACACACCTGGGGTCATCTGGAAGCAAGACGCACTAAGAAACGCCCTCAAAGGTGACATCACATGCATGCTACCTGTCTCATTTACTCCACAGCTGATGGTCATGTTGGTGTCTCCACCTTAGAGTTCACAGCTGGACCAGCAGTCTAGTGGTTTGTGACAAATTTTTTCCATCTTAAGGTTCACAAAGAACTCTTTGTAACCTTTGGAAAAGGTACTTTTCAACGTGTTTAGTAAAAAATAAACGTTATGCTGTAAGCAATGGATTTCTAAAATCAAAACCAATTAAGATTCTCCAGATAAAGCCATCTAGACAGCAACATAAATCAGTAATAATCCCTTAGAAGGTATTTTCTTGCACAGAATTTCACAACCTAGGGCTTTGATCGTCAGTACTGGGTTTCAGAACAAAACAATCTTTTTTTCCAGTAATGCAATCAAAAATATTACCTGTTATCATGCTGCATTAAGCAAGAGGCACAAATGCTTTAAAAATGAACAAACGGACCTCTGATCAAACTGATGTACCTGTGACAGCTGCAAAGTGATGTAGTCCACATCGGATCTGAGTGACTCGCACCGAAGGGTTAAACTCCGAGCGCCCAAACAGCGCGGGCGGGACCATCTCTGGCTTCTTGGACTCCGACAGATTCGGCCCTTTTCCCAGAATGCCGTAGCCCCAAACAAACACCTCGCCTTTGTCTGAGGCAAGATAGAAACTTTGACATTATTGTGACCGACATATCAACCAAACAACACACACAAAATAGAGAGCCATGGTCTTAATCTGCACCTGCAATATTCTGGTTTTACAGAACTAGACAGATGCACAAAATCATAGCTAAAGTGAAAACCCTAATGCAAAATAAGTACTAATCCAGGGGGCTGTATCACAAAGCAGGATTTCCAGCTTAGCCGGATAACTTGTGAGATTTAAGGCAGTCTGGGCTAATGTAAGTGGACGAAGAAAAAGTCCATTTAAACAAGCTCTCACAGCCTAGCCACTCTATTCCAAGGTCTCCCATCTCAGTTGACAGAGTGAGAGCCCTAAAGACTTGGACCAGCCAGCACCTCCACAGTGGCTCTCAGGCCGTAATCCTTCTGAACAAGGACCGCTCTGCAGTGTTTCCCCTAGGTTTGCAGCTTTCAGGGTGGGGGGGAGATATTTTTGTCTACTTTTCAGGTGGTTGACGCGACATATTGTCCGCTGGTGGGAGTGTGCTCACCTGTGTGTGCGCGCGCATCGGAGCAGAACTCCGCCATGCGCGATACAGAGAGCAGAGGGGAATTGTAAACGCGTGACCGTGCAGAAACAAATATGACAAGCTGTGTGTAAATAAGATAAATAACATAAAGCTATTTAGTTTAATAAAAGGACAATGTATAGACCTGTTATATAGGAAAGGGAACCTTAAATGACTTCTGTTGTGATCTGGTGCTATATAGAAAATAAAATCAAATTGAATTAATAATAATGAATAAATAATAATAGGGGGCCGGGAGGTGCCGTTGGGGGGGCGGGGCACCCCCCTAGTAAAATGCTTGGGGAAACACTGCTCTGATATTCCTCTGTTTTAACTGCTGCAAATGCACTTTACTACACGCATTGTAATGCACACTAATATTGCCCCTCCCATCCCATAATCACAGTAACAACCTTTCCCTGGTGCACTACTGCAGTCAGCACACACACACACAGATGCACTTTAACGACACCAATCACTCTTGGGGAAATTCATTAACTTGTCACACTATTTGCAGTTTTTGTTCTGTATGGTCTATTTATGTTTTTATCTTTTACCGTGTATTTTGTACATCATTATCTCATTCTGTACTTTTTATTGGACTGACATTATGACACAGATGCAGAGTTCGGGTCCAGAAAGCACAAATCCAGACCAAGATTTTGTTCCAACCAACCAGCTGTGTACTCTGTGACTGTGACTCTTTATGCTCAACTGAATGGTTGAAACAAAACCTTGAGCTGGATTTGTCCTTCCTGGACCTGAACTTCCCACCTCTGGTTGACAATCGCACCAGGAGGAATCCCTTGTACACTTGGGACTTGGTGAATAATAAAGAATCTGATTCTGGTTCATGGTTCGGGCCCCAGGTCTGACTACCCTGACCTCACCGTTCAGTACAGCCACCTGAGTCCCCCCGCAGGCAGCCTGCTGCACCTTGCCCATCTCCTCCACCGGGAGGTGCTGTGGAGTATTGATCTGTCGAGGAGGGAAGGAAAGTAAAGTGTTAAAACCCACCTCGTGTCGTATGCAGGTGAGTTGAGGGGTTTCTTGGCCCAGTGACTTAAATGTCACTCAGACATTAGAGGACAAACGCAAGAATTAAAAATATGCAGCAAACTGTAAGCCACCCGGCGCCCATAATGTCCGCCGTGGCTTCTACCTGCATTGCTTCCGTAACGGCGGACAGCTGAAGGTATTCAGAGTTTCCCCATCCGAAGAGCTCCCCGTCCTGCGACACGGCCAGGCTGCAGTCCCCGTAAGACGTCACCTGCCGCACCCTCACCCCAGCCAGGTCCCCCGCGACAGCCGCAGGCCGGGAGGCCATGTCATAACTTCCTAGTCCTGCCGAATGTACGCAAAGCCATTATAAACATCTCCTGCTAACACAAACGCAAGTGGGCAGCGGTGGCCTAATGGTTAGGGAAGTGTGCTTGTGATTGGATGGTCGCTGGTTCAAATCCCTGACCAGCATGGTACTGTTCTCCAGGCAGTAACTAATACCTGCCTGCTGCTATATCACACAAGGGTAAAATGCAGAGGATGCATTTTGTTGTGGTGTGTCAACAATTTCCCACCTGTGAAAACACAGGAAATCTAGCTACAAATATTGACATTATTTCTGATCAGCTACTGTGAGCTAAGATGAAGGATAAAATTAATCATTGGTGTAGAGAAATGCTAAAGAGCAAAACACTTTCTTTCTAGTCTATAGACTGAATAATCAGCATCTGGGTTGTCAGCTGCTGTGCCACCTGCAGCTCAGCCCAGGTAACCCACCGGAAGCCAAGCAGGACCTGGCTAGTACTTGGGTGGGAGACCAGCTAGGAAAGCTGGGTTGCTGCTGGAGGAGGTGTTGGTGTGGCCAGCAGGGGGAGCCCATCCTATGGTCTGTGGATCCCAGTGCAGTGACGGAGACACTGTCTTCTAGACGATATGTAAAACCGAGCTCCTGCCCCCCCCCTCTGAGATCATAAAGGATCCCTGGGCATCTTTTGAAAGAGTAGAGGTGGTACCCCGTTGCCCTGGTTGAAATCGCCCATTGTGACTCCTAATCATATCTTATATCTAAGTGGTGAGTTCTCTCCTGCCCCATCACCATCTTGGCTGCTGTGTGGTGGGTGCACTGTCCCATTACATCACCAGATGGTTTACAGAAGTGGCTCCCCATTGCGTCTGTGTGGCTTTGTGTGTCTTGAAAAGCGCTATACAAACGTAACGTTAATTCATGGTATTCAGGAATGCCTGTCATATGTGAACATCAGCAGACCTGTCTGTCCGTCTGCCCCCCATCCGCAGGTGTACACTCTGCCCATCTCAGTCAGGAACAAGCTGTGGTCCTGCCCACATGCCACCTAGAGGAGAAAGGCAGCATCACAGGTGGATTTCTAACTGTGGTACCATTTTAAAACAAAATCACATTTGAAAAAGCAAGCCTGTTACAGACACTTTAATACATTCTTCCTGCAGTATTTTAAAAACTATCAATTACATTTTTGATTTGCACAGTTCCATTTTGTAATATTATACAAGAACTAGGGAAAAATGAATGTACTAAACTTAATTTACACAATGTTTAACAATTCTAGTCTACAAACGCTCCTTGAGTCTAAGCACAATCAAGTCACCTGAGTGACCCGACTGTCAAAACCTTCAATCTTGTGTATGACATGGCTTCCACTGGGAGGGAAACAAAAGATTATCATTTGTCAATCAGAACAACACCTTTCCTCATAAGGTAACTTTCTAAGCGCGGCAGGCATGTCAGACCGCAGTTGTGACAGACATAGAAATTATTATAATGGAAGGACAGTCACCTGTTGTGGCACCCAGGGAAGGGGGGGGGGGGTTAAGGGCCTCGCTCAAGGACCCATGTCGAGGTCAGGCTCAATCCAGCGACCTTCTGATCAAAGGCACAGAGGCTCCGCCCACTGAGCCACACACTGCCCCTTATTGGTTTTACTTCAACCAGATATGCTGGTTTTCATTCGCCAGTTCTCGATTGAGCTGTTTAGCCACACAAATCCAGACAAATAACTTTAACAGTCAACTGAAAACATATAGCTTAAATTCCCTGTGTTAAATGATGCACAACATACTGAAGCTGTCTGATAAAAACTTTAGATCGAATGTTCCTTCTGCTATGCCAACACAAATCTCAGAGTCGCTGGGCCCTTAACCCCCGAATGCACCAGGGACTGTCTAACGCTGCTTTCAATTGAACGCTGTTTTGGACAGAAGTATTTCCTAAATAAATGACATTGCAAACTTATTGTATTGTGAACTGTGCAGAAAAGAAACCTGCGTAACATTCAGCAGATATGGATCCGTGGAGAGCGTACCTGTAAACTTCATCCTCTACTATTTTCCTCCCACACTGTCCGTACGCATTGTTCCCAAGGCTGAACACTGTAAGCAACGTCACAAAGTATTATCTGATCCTTATATTTACATTAGACCACAGACACTTTTGTTGTCACAAAGCACATCAAATACAGCTTGAGGATGGGAAGCTTCATTTTTAAGAACTAAAAAGGGTTGATTACACCCGGGTGTGATGGGACATGTCCCTCCCCCTCGTGGCTTACCGCCCTCAGAGTCCGTGAGGATGAGGGAGTGGGCGCGCCCACAGGCCACCTGCAGCACCCGCGTCTCCTGCGGCCTGGCCAAGGGAAGGCGCACTGGGGAGGGCTCCAGCACGTAGGCATAGCTTTTCTCTGGGGACCAAGGAGAGCGAAAGAATTGTATCTGCATTCTTACAAACCGGGTAACCTGTCAAATTTAACTTTGGGCTTCCATTCAATTGCAGGCTGTCCTCAGGTCATGAAGGAGATCCGCTCCCTAAGTCTGTCTTTAAGTCAAGGGTTGCCAACTTTGGTCAGCTGGCTGATATGAGATTTTCAATTCGAGACTGCATTTATCTGCNTCAAATCTGTAGGAAAGTCGGAGCAATAATAACACAGTACATAATAATTCAGTAGATGATTATTATTATTATACAGTAATAAGTTACATACAGGACTGTACCTCGAGCCAATGAACAGCTGAAGCCGCACAATGATTTCATGAGCACCACAAAGTCATGCGTGTGTTCGTTATTATGAACCATTATATTTAACCTGAATTTTTAGTATAATATACTTTATGGCAGTCAGTTAGTGAGTAGAAATTGTCTGTAGGTTGGACATTCTTAGCCCGGGGACTGCCTGTAACTGACAGCGGAGGAGCCGTAGACGGTTAAGAAGAAAGGAAGGGATGCTGACCCCGGTCATGGCGGGAACACTGGAAACCCAACTGGGAGTCCTTATTGAGGCCCATTCCCCACAATTTGGTAATGTCTCGAGTTCTAGAGGACAGCAGCGTGAACCCATAACCACAGGCTGCTGATGAAATCTGTGGGCAAACAGGACACAAGACATAAGAAATGCTGTGATGTGTTAAGCATGGTGTCAGTCTATTTTATAGACTTTGATATTAGGCAGCATATCTCGCCACCATATGATACTTTAGGCGGCATCTACAGTGCAGTACCTGCTCTGCGGTGTCAAGCCGATATGGGGTAAACTGATATTTCCGGCGTTTTTTTCTCCCACTGTCCGGAATCACAAAGCTAGGAATGCCAAGAGCCCCCGTGTAGCTGAATCCCCAGACGAAGACTTTGTCTTTGGGCTTTCTGTGCTGTCCCACATACTGGAATATTGGTCCCAATTCAGATTCCTTCGTTTGGGCCTTTGATGCCAGGCTGCGAGACGCACATGCACGATTTACAAGATGAAGCAGACCTAGTTTTCGAAGATGGACCAAGGCCATTGAACAGATAGCCTGCAAAAGTGCATGAAAAAGACATATATATATATATATATATATATATATATATACACACGTACATTAGTTTGCCAGTTAGAACAACCGAGGTTGAGGTTCCAAGAAAACAAAATTAAAATCTTTCGATAAGCCACAATGATACACACCTGGCCAACTCAGTCAGACCTAACATAATACTATAGTTTAACGGTCGACGTCTATGAACTGTATTAATCCGCTATGCGCACTATCAATGTTTTATGAAATGTTAAGCTAGCGAATCACAGATAGTAATCTTCAAATATTCATAACAATGTCTGGTTATATTATGACTCATTTGGAGTAATAACCGCAAAGTAAATGAAATCGGTGTATTATAAAGTACTTACCGAGTAAAACAGTTAACGCTCAGAATTATGTTTTACACACTAAATCCAGGTATAACAAACTTCACAGATAGCTGAAATTCTTCATGGTTTCTTGACATAAACAGAGTAGGTAGAGTACTTGGTTATAATAATACATATACAATGTCAAAGCATTGTGTAGTTTGAAGAAGGCATTACCATGTTTGACAATGTCGGGCGCCATGAGACTAACCTTTAGGTGAACTCTGACCTCTAACCTTACGCGGCATATTAAAAACGTAATTTCCGGTTATAGTTTTCTTGGGAAACGTAGTGTATTGCAATATTCCGAAAATATTGTACTTCTCTATATTTAGCAATTATGTGAATATGTGTATTCAGAAAGACGTTTACTAAAAATATCTTTTGAACTAATTTCCCAAGCTTTACGCAGCGATACGTTATAGCAAAATTAAATATATATATATTTGAAACTTATTTTATGTCCAGTGAAACTGCTTTTTACTGAATTTGTAGGTTCACATACATGGTTATTCTTGTATAGGGAAGGGAATGCGTGCACAGAGTGAATTTTGTAATAAAATGGATTGTATCTTCCATATAGACAATTAGCTCCTACAACATATAAAATAATGCAAGATGTATTTAATTTACAACCCCGATATACACAAGTATATCCTGTTAAGAAAAACACAAAACAATGCTTAAGATATAAGTGATTACTCAGATCATTTAACAGGAATAGTAGCATATATAACAATTTCATATAAAAGATAACATTTCATATAAAACACTACCCATTTAACAGCATATAATACTTAAAAATAAAGCCAGAAAGCATGTATTAATAATAACCATAGTTTACATAGTATTACTGCAGCTAATCCAGTAAACAAGCACACTAACAAACTTGAAAGTTCATAGGCAACTCTGCAGTGTCCTTTACGACGATTCTGTTAGCAGGGGACACACTGCTCTTTTAGCCGGTGCTCTGGATGACGACCTTCTTGCAAGTGCCTGATGTACAGCGCTCCAGGATGAGTTCTGGACTGGGACGGGGTGGAATGGCTGGGATCTGTCCCTTTGGCTCTGGAATGGGGCTTGGATCGCTCTCTGAAAAGAACCAGAGTCATCAGAAGTTTGCTTGATCACGCTCCAAATGTGCGCCAGCTGCTCCCTGGAAAAGGTGCCCTGGGTTACCTTCAGACTTCTCACTGATCGTCTCTGAAATGGCTGAGCTGCTGGCTGCTTCCTGGGCCAGCACAGAGCGTGGGCCACGTTGCTGAAGGTAGCGCCGGCTGTTCCTCCTGTAGACGTCCTGGGTGATGCGATTGCGCCCTCTGGCATGGATGCTTTGGGCATTGCGAATTGTTGATCTGTGGACCAGGAGACAAACATTGCCTGTGAGGCTTAAAACAAAATATCTCCATCCATCCATCTATCTATTCATTGATCCATCCATCCACTTATCATGGACAAGATCGTGGGGGTGTTGAGCCTTTCCTAAACAACTCAGTCACATATAGTGCCACCCTAAGTTATGATATAATTTATGAAAAGTGTTCTATTTCAATTCCGTTCTTTAAATATGTACCTAAGTTGGCATTTCGGTAGTGAACTATCACATTGTAGCAGAATAATGGACATTGGCGTGGTGAATACCTCCTGGGGGGTGGTGTACCCCTCATAGTTTCATTCCCGTTAGTGTAAGACTCTTTCTTCAGTCCACTTTTGCGCAGGAACATTGAAGGGTAATGTCCCGTCTCCTCTCCTTTCCTGTCAACGATGCACGACAATCACGTAGACAATGTTACCCCTGTGCACCGTTTGGAAATACCATGAGGAACTTGGTTCAATTGCTCAATTTTCAAAGGCTTAATTGCATCACTTAGCAGACTGCAGGCACAAAGCCGTGCTCTTCAGGCCGAAAGCGAAACAAAAAAGCCAGCAACCCAAAGACAGCTTCTGAAAACCGTCAGAATGAGTTATGACAGTTCAGTAGCCAAACCATCCGCAGTCATCCACATCAGTCATCCACATCATGAGTCTCAAGCACGTACAGCTGTGAAAAAATATGTTTTTATAACTGACATACCTGACCACCCACCAGCCATCCAGCAACTTGTGGATGACCTCAATTATCTCTCCTGATTCAAGAGTCAACTCGTCATCTTCAGTAGCAGTATAGCCCTTAATGGTTACGTACAGTTCTCCTGTGGAGACACACATACTGTTTAAACGAATGCACTCTAGTGCTCGAAGGTGTCATCTGCAAATGAAACACAGTGTGGATCTCGCATTTTGGTAAACAGTCGGTGTCATTGTGGCTGACCCTCATAGTTGGGGTCTGGCTCCTCCCCCTCATCGGGCCCCTCCATGGGCTCCAGGTAGGACGCGGGGATCCAGCCACGACGGGACTCACACTGACAGAACCACCACCCTGCCAGGAGATACACAGGCCGGCTGAAGTATGTGATCACAGACAGGAGAAGACAATGCCACAGAACCACCTGCAGCATGGTGATTAATGACTCATACCGTCAAAGGTCACTGATTTAAGGCACATTCAATATCGAGATATCCAACCTTCCAAGATTCCTATTTTAGATGTTCCACTGAAATTGTCAGCCAAAACTATAAACTCTTCCTGACCTTTCTCAGGTAAAGCTCTCTCAGGTGTGCCTCCTTCAGGACATATAATTATTTAGGAAGAAACACCCTTTGATTCATTTTTATTCTGCTTTATTATTATCATTATTTAATAGTTGGGCATGGCGGACATATCACCTCAAGTTACAGTAATATAATGAGAATCTGAGGAGAAAACTGAATCTGAGCCAAACAACGATGTCAGAAAAATATCCATAAAGGTTGACCAAAAAACGTGTTATATACACTGTACAGACTATGTACAACATATGTTTTTCAACAATCTTATTTACTTCCTTTTGATTTATCATCCCATTAAGGCTTGAGAAAAGCAAGTTATTACCTCCGAAACCTTAAGGTGCATCTAAGACATTTTTTGTAACCTCACCATTGGGATTTTTCTCCACGATGTCCATCAGGTCTCCAACAGTTAGGCTGAGCTCATACCTCGAGCTCTTGGTGTAATCTGCTATTGCCCGGTATGTCTCCAGGATGATGGGGCCGGTAATCTCTGCAAGCAGTATTGAAGTTTTTAAAAGTTTTTAAAAGGACATATGCTCTGACTACATAGGACTCGGACTGAATACACAGGAGCAGGACGCTACCAGATGTGTTGGATCTTGACCTGCCCCGTTGCATCAGGTATGTTTCATTTCTTTTAATCCTAAAAGAAAGAAAATTTAAAGTGACACTACATTATTTTTTTTTTCCAGAAAGACTTGAAACAAAGTAAAATGGGACTACCGATTTATATTTGATAATCGTTTTTATTTTTTTGTGCATATTTGACGGCTGGTGTATCCTTACGGGTGTGCAGAGGGCGGGACTTCATCGTCAGGTCTAACGTGAAAGAAGTCATACAGCAGCTGACAGCGGGAGATCTTGGGCGGCAGGTTGATGACGGCCTGACAGTACTCGGCTAGCGTGCCCTGCCGGCTCTCTGTACTTTTCTGGTTGTCGAACCATTTTGGTGCTACGATACAGGGATGGAGATGTTTGCAGCAAACACATTTAGGCTATGCAAATTCAGTTTAACTGAAAACATTCCAACTGGTTTAAATGCTATAGTTAAATAGGTCTAAAATGATTTATACACTGGCATGTCACGGCTTTGCTTAAGTTTATCTGTACAGAGATAATCTGCATATTAACTTCCTGTCAATGGGCCTATAAGCACCATAGCTGGTATAGTAAGTCTCAGTATAACAGCATTCTTAAAACATGAAAAAGTGTTACGATATAAAATTATGATGCAACAATGAAATTCAGTAGCTTTTGAAGAAAAACTTCCTTTCTCGTTTATTTAAATGCAAAGCAGTGATGTCCATCTTCCTTTGAGACTGCAGTTGTCTACTTCAAATGCCAGGAAATCTTGCGAAATGCTTTTCCGTTCAAATTACTGAAAATTAGTTTTTTTTTTTTCATGCCGGCTTAAGTTAAAGCTAACAGGCCTTAAATGTGCCTGCATGTTACTATATTCACCCATGTGTTCATACATCGTCCAGCCGGGCCTCTTACACCAGACTCGTAGCTACAGTTGCTAGATGCTTTGTTTTTGGCTTTATGAAGTGGTATATACATATTTAACGAAAACAGATTAAGATGTTACGATTTTTCAGCTCCGCTTTCTAAAGTGCATCAATATTTCAGAGTGGATTTCCCCCCTTTCTTGACAAAGAAGCCTTCATCACTAGTAACGAAACCAGAAACTTATTTTTATGTCCTGTTAATGAAGTTTAGCGAGAACAGGTGTTTCCTCCGCCAAAATACCACGACCAAACTAACAACTAATTCTTCTCTTTTTCTTTTTACATGAGATAAGCACCTATCTAGCAGCTCTGCATAATGCTTTTCACAGATATATTTTGACATTGAATGTGGTTCGCAAAAGTACATCTTTATTAAAATTGCACTTTACGAAACGTGATCCCTGAAAATTGTCTTCAGAACGGGACAGTGAGGCACATCTTTACCAGGCAGAGACGGTATGATCCTGTCTTCGGCATCAATGTCTCCAGCCTCTATGGGAAACATTTCCTTCAGGGTTTTCTAAAACAGACAGACATTATGGCCAGTCAGTGTACTGCTGCCCTGCCCAAGGCACACAGGGGATACACAGCCCAGATTGCAATAAAGCATTGAACTATTTTCATTTATTGTTTAGGGCCATTTGTGCAACAATAATATTGTAACCAGGGAGAGTTGAATTGCCTTCAAAATCCTCCTTGCGTGCCAGAATAAGTATTCATTTCCTGTTGCACAATTTTGTTTATTATAAATAAACCATCGTGACTGACTTGACCTTTGGGAAGTGGCAAACTATGAAGGGAAACGAGTAAGTTTCAGCGGGAGATTCGTATGGAAAGGCAGCATGCAGTTACTCACGTGTAACGTGTACATTTCTGGATATTTCCTGTAGACCAGTTTCTCTGACAGATCACTCCATTTCACTAAGAACATGTACACCTGCAAATCGAACAAACCTAAGAGGCATATTGCAGTTCTTAAACGTTTAATAAATGCATATATTTATCAAGCTGGTCAGAGAAAAGTAAGGTTTCCCAAAATCACAGCCGATAATATCTGTAACTTTACATTTGTCTCCAAACTTACGTAATGTTGGCTCGGAAAGAATCTCCTTTCAAAGCCCAGTATCTCCATATGAAGTATATATGGCTCCTCCATGCTGGAAGAATTTGATGTTGTGATGGTAAGTTAACCAGATGAAGAAGGAGACCGTTTTATAGGGGCGGTGAAGTTCCTTGTGTAAGGCTGGGAGTTCCACAAACATGTGCCGCCCACTCAACCACTATCAACCCAAAATAAGGAAACCTATGCAAAAAGGGGAAATTTTGCACATCTGTTTTTTTTTTTTTTTGAAAGAAAACTAACAAAGCCATTAATTTAAAATGTTTTATTGTGATCAAACTCACACAAATGACGTTTATATAAATTATATATTTCAATATACAGTATTAAAAGGTAGAAATTCGCCAATAAGGCGTAAGACCAGAACTCTGTGCTTACTGGTAAGGAAAGAACCATAGAAATATGAGGTATCTTTCACTATTCGGTTGATGCGGTTTTCATGAGCAGTGATTAGATTAGATTGATAGATACATAGATAGATAGATAGATGGATGGATGGATGGATGGATGGATGGATAATAGGCTGAGTCTCACCCTGAGTGAACCACCCTCGTGATCATGGTCTCTCCCCTGCCAGGTAAGTATATGGCCACAATATGAATTGTATTTGCTGTCCAGTCTGTTTCAATGAAGCACATCGCTGGATTAGTTCTTTTTAATTTGTTTCGGTCTCGGATATGTGCGGTAATACCTTCGCGGTCCACTAGAGGGGACATTTGAGAACCACTGTTATAAGCGCCATTGTACATTCGTTGAGTTTGTTATTTCCAGCACAGCACCTGTTTTCTTTTACACCTGAATCGACAGCACTAAAGTATAGGGAAATGAGAAAGACAAGCGGGGAATTCACTATGATGAAGTTGGCTGCTTATTTGCAGGACCCGTGTTTGCTGAAATAGAAGGTGTATAGTTTCTAATACAATGCCCTCTGAACTTGGAGCTTTTACACTACAGACTACTGTAGATATAATGAATGTGCTGCCATATTGACAGCAACATATCTCATCAATGTCAGTACGGGAGAACATTCATATGTCTACAGTAGTCCATGGTTTAAAAACTCCAAGTTCAGACAATGTTCTTTTTGAAAACTAAACAGTTACTACTGAAGTACAAATCAAGAACAAATATAGTTGCTACTTGGAATACAAGATGCATCACGATGCATTAATGATGAATAATCATGAGATCAGTATTTCACTTGATATTCATCAATTCATTGAGTCACAAAGGTTTACAAAATTAACAGATAAAGTAACAAATGCAGTAACCGCATGAGGTAAACGATGCATCATGATTCTGATGAGATCAGTATGTAACTAAGTCCGGATGTCTAGAGAGGAGCCTCATCATCATTATTCTCAGTAATGAAGATGTGTGTCATCTCTGGATTTCCGTAACTAGGACTCTGCTTGTGGTTAATTAACATATTAGTAATATCACAATGCTATATTTATTCTGCCCCATCAAGTAAAGTGTTACCAAAACACCTTCAAACTAAGGATATAGTGAGTGTAACAGTTGGTGTATCGCCTGTTTTTGAACGTTTTAACAGAGGCATTGACTGACCAGCAATATGACATCAACTGGGATTCTATTGAAACATCTGTTTAAGGTGGCAGGGATTCTGCGAATAGGGAGCTAGAGAATAAGTAGCCAATTTAAGCTTCGTGGGGACCTCGTTGTGGTCTGAGTTGCATGATGTTAGTTTTTTGTGCTAAAATGTGTTTATTCTTTTTGTGTCATGAAGTCCAAATTTCATCTTGCAATGAATAAAACAGCTTCTTAACTGCCAGTTTACTGGTGAAGGTGTGATGAAGGAATGTTTCCGAAATTCTTAAGTTGTGGCCTTAAGTCATGGACTTAATCAGTGAGTCAGACCATGTGTAATCTGGTGTCGTGCAACAGTAACGAAGGAGCACAGTCTTAGCATGCAGCTGGTATTTTTACCAAAAGCCTATAACTCCCTAAGGTAATCCATGTTTATTATTCTACTCAAAGGTAAAGTAACGAGACACAGGGGAAAAGAACAGTCTATTACTACAATGTGAAATATGAAAATATGAAAGTTTATTCAAATTAATTGGCACCCTATACTTTTTTAATACGGAGAAAAAATTGGGTCCAATATCAAGCCTATAAACATTTTTGTATCACTCAAAAGATGAACAACCTACATTTTAAGAACATAAGAACATAAGAAATTTACAAACGAGAGGAGGCCATTCGGCCCATCAAGCTCGTTTGGGGAGAACTTAGCTAATAGCTCAGAGTTGTTAAAATCTTATCTAGCTCTGATTTAAAGGAACCCATGGTTTTAGCTTCCACTACAATAGCAGGAAGACTATTCCATACTCTGACTACACGCTGTGTAAAGAAATGCTTCCTCAAATTTGTTTTAAAATGTTCTCCCGCTAATTTCCACTTATGGCCACGAGTTCTAGTATTTAGACTAATATTGAAATAGTC